TACCATGCCCGGCTAGTTTTTTATTTATTGTAGAGATGAGGTCTCACCAAGTTGCCCAGGTGGGTCTCAAACCCACAGGCTCAGGCAATCCACCTCGGCCTCCCAAAGGGCTGGGATTATAGGCTAAGCCACCGAGCCCAGCCAGCCTTTTTCATTAATTCTGACCCATAGTTGCTCTCACAGGCAATTTCTGTTGCCAACTTTTTTCCAGTGTATGGGTCATGCTTTCCTGTTTCTTTGCATATCTCATAGTCATTCACTGGAAACGATTTTTAGATAATATAGCAACTCCATCTCTAGGACTTCTTGTTATTTGCTTATTTGCTTAGTGACTGCCTATTACTAAAATAGATTTAAGTAAAATATATTTCCAATCTACAGTGTTAAGGCCTTACAATTGATCCTGAGGAAAATGCAGCTTTGGGTATGCCCACTATCACCCTGGGATGACAGTGGTTTTGGTAAGCATCTCTTTTCCTTGACTATACCCAGCTGTTGAACTCAACTAAGTGTGGCTTATTTTTCTATTATCTCCAGGGGCATAACCTGCTCTTGCCCCATAAATTAATCCAATCAAGTTGTGGCTATTATGAGAAAGCCTTCTCCCTCCCCCCACCAAGCTCTGCCACATACTTTGTTTTTTATTGATTTGTAATAGTTATACATATTTTTGAGATACCTGTGATATTTACAACATGTAATGATCAACAAGGGCAACTAGGACCCCTGAGATCTGAGGTCAATGTTTGATATTTGTTCTGAACCCAAGAGGGCACCTCCCAGCTATTTTATTCTTATTCCCCAATTCTTTCCAGCAGTCTAAGCCGCATCCTCAATAAATCCACAGATCTCCTCCCAGTTGCCTCTTACCAAAATCTTTACTGTTCTCTTTTTTGTTGTTGTTGTTGTTGTTTTTTGAGTTGGAGTCTCACTCTATCGCCCAGACTGGAGGGCAGTGGCCGCTCCCAGCCACCGCAGCCTCGACCTGCTGGGCTCCGGCGATCTTTCCACTTCTGAGTAGCCGGAATTACAGGCATGCGCTACCACGCCCGGCTGATTTTGTGATTTATTGTAGAGATGAGGTCTCGCTGCCCAGGCGGGTCTCGAACCCGCGGGCTCAGGCAATCCACTCACCTCAGCCTCCCAAAGGCGCCGGATTACAGGCTGAGCCACCGAGCCCAGCTCTACTGTTCTCAAGAATGTCCTTAGGCACACTGTGTTGCAAATGAAGTTACTTCCATTGGGAAGAGATTAGAGGAGTTATCTGTTTTAAAGCCTGCTTCTCTCCTCAGGCAAAATATATGAACCAGAGCTCTGAAGCTGGGGAGTAAATAACCTCACTTTAGAAACCGAGTACTTGGTGGAAGGAGGCAAGGTGAATGCAATAATCTGATTCTCAGCTCACTTTTCCTACCCTAGAATCACCATCTCACAAGTCAGGACAAGGACAAGGGCTATTGGGACCCTAGTAATCTCAGTATGCCATGCCCAATGTACAGCTAGCTCTGTTCCACAAGTAGGGACTGGATGGAAGAAGGGAATCCCATCTTTCAACGGCACTCACTCGGGACTAAGCCTCAGTCACAAATAGCTCTGAGAAAGACAAAAATGCTGAAGTCCTGCCCTTCCTGGGAAGAAACCCCTCTGACTGGGAGCTAGGGTGTCTTCTGCTATGGATTGCCATAGTCTGAAATGGAATCTCCACCTCACTAAACTGGGTGTGGGTAGGAAACGATCTTGGTTCAAATATCATAGTCTCTCATCTTTCTTACTAAATATTTGTAGATTTTCTTGATACATGTTTCTTCATTTGCTGCTTGCCCCATAGGATCTTTCCCAGAAGGTGTTTTTGTGTTTTGAGTCATTGGCTCACTCTGTCACCCAGGCTGGAGTGCAGTGGCATGTTCACGACTCACCCTGCAACCTCGACCACTTGGGCTAGGCAATCCATCATCACAGCTGGGACTACAGATGGCACCAATACACTTGGTTTTTTTTTTGGCAGAGAGGTAGAGACAAGGTCTCACCATGTTGCCTAGCTGGTCTCTAACTCTTAGGCTCAAGCAATCCTCTTACCTCTGTCTCCCAAAGTATTAGGAATACAGGTGTGGTCACAAGGCCCGGATAGAGAGTTTAAATAGTTGATTTTTTTTTTTTTTTGAGTTGGAGTCTTACTGTTTCACCCAGGCTGGAGTATACTCCAGCCTCAGCCTGTTGGGCTCAGGTGATCCTTCCACCTCAGCCTTCCAAGAAGCAGGAACTATAGGCATGCACTACCACACCCAGCTAATTTTTTTATTTATTGTGGAGATGAAGTTTTGCCAAGTTTTATTTTATTTTGAACCCCTGGATTCAGGCAATCCTTTCACCTCTGCCTCCCACAGGCATGAGCCACCAGTCAGACAAATAGTTGCATTTTAAAAATAATTTCCAGGCCCGGCACGGTGGCTCACGCCTATAATCCTAGCACTTTGGGAAGTCAAGATGAGAGGACTGCCTGAGCCCATGGGTTCAAGACCAGCCTGAACAGTTTGACAAGACCTCATCTCTACAATAAATCAAGAAATTAGCCAGGTGTGGTAGCATGTGCCTTTAGTTCCAGCTATTTAGAAGGCTGAGGCAGGGCCGGGCTCGGTGGCTCAGCCTGTAATCCCAGCACTTTGGGAGGCCGAGGCGAGTGGATTGCCTGAGCCCGCCGGGGTTCAAGACCTCATCTCTACAATACATCAAAAAAAATAAATAAATAACTAGCCGGGCGTGGTAGCGCGCGCCTGTAGTTCCGGCTACTTGGAAGGCTGAGGCGGAAGGATCGCCGGAGCCCAGCAGGTCGAGGCTGCAGTGGCCATGAGGGTGCCACTGCCCTACAACCTAGGCAAAAGAATGAGACTCTGACTCAAAAGTTAAATTAAATTAAATTAAATTAAGTAATAATTATTTCCACCAGTTTCACAGAGGAATGGGTCAGTGCAGCTCCTCATCCTGTCTTGCTGGAAGTCAATCCTGTCTAAAGCTGCTTTTGTGTTACAATGGCAAAGCTGAGGAGCTGAGTTGTTCCAACATCGACCCTCTAGCTTGCAAAGTTGAAAATATTTACTGCAATGGCCCTGTACAGAAAAAGTACGCATTGCCAGGCATGGTGGCATGCGTCTGTAGTTCCAGCTACTTGGAAGGCTGAGGCAGAAGGATTGCCTAAGCCCAGCAGGTTGAGGCTGCGGTGGCCATGAGCGTGCCACTGCACCCCAGCCTGGACAACAAAGAGTGAGACTTCAACTCAAAAAAGAAAAGAAAAAGTATGCCAACCCCTGACTTAGGTTACTGCTGTCAATGCTGCTGGTCCTAAAACCACACCTTGAGTAGCAAGAACTTAAAAGAACTTAAATTACTTGGGAAGTAGTACTATACTGGCTATGGGCTTGAACCCCACTTTGCCATTTACTAGCTGTATGGTTTGGGGTGCCTACCTCACTGGGTTGTTTTGAGAATTTTTTTTTTTTTTTTTTTTGAGTTGGAGTCTCACTCTGTTAG